GGGTTTTTTGGTGTTAAGTCTTTTGTTTTTTGAGGGTCTTTTTTTTAATATATATATCTTGGAGATAAATGCTCTGAGATGCATGTGGTAAAGATTTTCTCCCATTCTGTGGACTCTCCCTGTTATTGGTTGTTTCCTTTGCTGAGAAGAAGCTCTTTAATTTGAATCCATTCCATTTATTGATTCTTAGTTTTACTTCCTGTGCTTTAAGGAGTCTTATTAAGGAAGTCAGGTCCTAAGCCAACATGACAAAGATCTAGGCCTACTTTTTCTTCTATTAGGAGCAGGGTCTCTCTGTTCTAGTGCCTAAATCTTTGATATACTTTGAGTTGATTTTTGTGCAGGGTGAGATATAGAGGTTTAATTTCATCTTGCTACATATGGATTTTTCAGTTTTCCCAGAACCATTTGTTGAACAGGCCATCTTTTCTCCAATGTATGTTTTTGGCATCTTTGTCTAGTATGAGATAACCATTTTCATGTGGGTTTGTCTCTGTCTTCTATTTTGTACCAGTGATCTACGTATCTGTTTTGGTGCCAGTACCATGCTGTTTTTGTTACTATTGCAGTGGATTCCTATTGCTGTAAATGACGTACTAAGTCATTTCTTCTCTGTCCTGTTTTCTGATAATCTCCCCTGGACAGTCTCTTCAGGAATGTGAGTTCTGCCTTCTGTCGGCTGTTCCCATGGTTGGAGTCCTGTTACGTGTCGTCATAACTGCCTGGGAGCTGCTTTTTCCCTTTTTCACTTATTTTATGTGGAGCTGCCTTCATAATTTGTAACTTCCCATCGTTTCTTGCAAGGCATTTGGGGTCCTTATGTTTGCTATACCTCCAAAAGCCTGATTTAATTTAAAATTTGGGGAATTAGATATGCTGTTGATTCCCTACCTTCTTATACTCTGTTCCATCACCCGTCTCTCCCCAGGTCAATTTCAAGTTTAGGATATGGTGTGAGTTTATACATTCTCACATGCTCATCACTGGTTTCTGAAAAGCATTACTTTTTGTACCATTTTAAACACACTGAATACCATAGTTATGACTTATTAGTTACAAGTAACTACCGTGAGCTTGCCTTCACTTGCCGTTTCTCAGTACGATCATAAGAAATGTTAAGCTGAGAAACAAGTTTACTTAAGTAGTTTTGGGTTCTGAATTGAGATGTTACAGAATATTGGCAGTGAAAGCTCTGGGCAAGCCCAGTACTGAGAAGTGGAAAAGAAAGGCGGGCTTGCCTCCGTGCCTTCGCAGTAAAGATTGGGCTGACTCACAGAAGCATGCCTGCCAAAACCTGTACGTGGCTCCTTGGGTTTTGCTGGAGTAGCTGCCTGGAGAATGCATTTATACAAAGGGTTTGGAGGATTGTGTGCAACCTTTAAGAGAAAACTGGTAATGTAAAATGTGGTTAAACCTACGTGATAGTTCAAAGAGTTACTTTACCTGAGCAATTTGGTTTCTTTTGAACATTGCCAAAGTAAGCTGTATCATGCCATATGCTTTGAAAAAACTGCTTTGCCTTGAAATTTGGAAATGAAATTAGTCATTTGACCAGTTAAAACACATAAGGTTTAATTTATTTTCATAAGGAAAAAAATAGCATATTCATTTTAGTCCCAACAGATTTTTTTAATCAATAAAATAAAACAATATTGGGTTCTGAAACTTAGATTTAACTCCATCCATCAGGTTTCCTAACCTTTGTGTCATGTGTTGGCCAGAGCAAGGGGAATCTCGTGTCAGATGGAGAGGACTCTGTGTCCCAGCTCCAGCATCTGCCAACTTCATGATCTTGGGCAGGTTAAGTGACCACTTTCCTTATCTTTAGTCTGTGAAGGGATGCTCACAGCACCACGGAGTTGCATGTGGAGGCTGTGCCTGTGAAGGTCCCTTGTTGTGGCTACATGGCACTGTTAATGACCCACCAGAGGGGCTGCTGCTCACTCAGCCAGCTCTTGAGGGCACCTGCAAAGTTCCAGACATAGAGAATGTGAAGGTAAAAGTGAGTTGATCTTGCCCCAGAAAAATTTATGGAGGAGGAGGAGGCAGGACCCTTGGGCCTTCTTTCTCATGACCTGGATTTTATTGGCATGAGGGGACCAGAGCCAAGAGATTTCAATTCTTACTAACTGGGTGCAAAGGTGCTTGCCTAGGAGTGCTGTAATTCTCTCCTCACCGTCAGGTTCAAGGACTAATCTTCATGGATAGGACATGCTTAGCCTCAAATATAATTGCTTGTGGGACAAGCAGGGTACTTTGGTACTCATTCCTTTAAAGTTGTTCTTTGTCTCTAAAAATCCTTCACAATCATTTTTGTCTATTAGCAAGATTTAATTATGAGTTGGTTGTGATTTTTAAGAATTTTTTTTAATTTAGATATGACACATGTCTCTTATCAAAAACTTTGAAAAATACCTTTTCTCACTCCTGTCCTACCCACCAACAGCATGTTACTTTATGTTGAGTTACCTGTCTTTGGTGATGTCTTCAACTTTGGTATCCAGAAGATTTTAGGTTATTGTTGGTTGGATCTGCACACATTGACAATTTACCTTTGTCTGCTGATTGTCATGGGAGACATTATTATTATTTCTTCTTCTTCTTCTTCTTCTTCTTCTTCTTATTATTATTATTATTTTGTAGTACTGAGGATTGAATCCAGGGCCTCACATGTGCTAGGCAAACATTCTAAGTAAATTACACTTTCAAATTTTAATGAAGTGAAATACCAAGTAAATAAATCCCACCTACATCTTAAATAAATGATAGGTTTTATTGGACCCTACTGGTATATCATATCTTTTTGAGTGTTCTTTGTAGTTTGTACTTTTCCCAATTTTCCTTCCAAGGCCACTGTCCCTCCTCTTTAGGCCCTGAATAACTTTTGTACCTGCACTTACTTATATTTTATCATTGTCTACATTATTCTCTGAGGGAGAAATTTCCAGAATCTAGGGCAGCATTTTGATGGTGCTTGTTATTGCTCAAGAGCAAAATGGAGCTAGAAGCCAGTACTTTCTCATATGAACTGATTCAAAGCAAGAAGTTAAGGGATTTGTAATCCACTACTTGCAACGGAAGTGTAGTGAAATTACATGGTCATTGATGTTACAGTAAATTGAGATGAATTGGTTTTATGCAAAACAAACCTAGTGACTAAGAAACAAAGAAATCCATTTATACAGTTTTGTTGGTGATTAATATTGAATATACTTTGTCAGTTGTTTTTCTGGTTGTTCTATACCTTATACCTTTTCCTAAAGACATATATTTCATCTTTAATTTTGTGTGTCCCCCAGCCAAGCTACCACTTAGTGGCAAACCTATTGAGTAACTCTTGCACATGATTATGATTGCTCACTGCCAAATTCTGTGACTGAAGGCTGTTTTTTTTTTCTAGGCTTGCTAAAATATGAATTTAGCTTCTATTTGATAAATATTGAGTAAGATCTACATTTACAAGTAGCTAGCAGTTTCATCTTATTTAGAAACTTATCATAGGGTGTTTCAGTATATTTGTTGGTGAAAGTAGTTCCTTGGCAGAATTATCACATTGCATGTAGGCGGTCATTTATGAAAGAGCCAAGTTTTATCACTTATTTTCATTAGCAAACACAGCGATTTTTTTTTTTTTTTAAACCAAGGTTTCCCAAAATAATCATGCCTGCTTCTTTTAGTGGCAGTGATTTCATAGTAAAAATCGTTGTTTGGATCATTGAAGAGGTATTTTTAGACATACTGCACGATTTTTACTTCTAATATAATTTATTTTTTGGAACATAAGTGATACTTCAGCAGATTTTCTTTTCTTTTTTTTTTCAGTTTATGTGTAACATTTCCTCAAATAGTCATGCTCATAAAATTCAGGGGAAGTGGGAGGGAGTAATTACTGGTATTTGGGCAACTCCAGGGGAGACATTGGGGAGGTGTTAAAATTTAAGAAACCATGTTCAGGTTAGAAAATGTTTGATTTTAATATTAAATTGTGTTGTAAGCTGGAATGCCTAGAAATGCGTATTAATACACGCTTGAGAAAATGAACTTATTTTTTTTCCCCTGACTGATAGCAGTAAGTTAAAACATACTCTCTGGATATCAGTAGTATTCCTACTCTTCCTATTGATTAGTGTTCAAGAAGACAAGAGAGAACAAATTTTTACATGTGAAAAAAGTTCAATATTAATAACATCCCCTTGACAAAAATGTAAGAGAACCAGTAATAATTGACTTGATAGTTTCATATACCTTACTGTGTTTTTATTTCTTATTTGTCTATTTTTTTTTTTTTTTTTTTGTGGTTCTGTGAATCAATCCCAGGGGCAGTTTACTCCAGTGTTACATCCCCAGCCCTTTCTATTTTGAAACATGGTCTCACTAAGTTGCCAACATTGGCCTCGAACTTGTGATCTCGTGCCTCACTCTCCCAGTCACTGGAGTGCACCACTACATGCAATTGTATTTAATTCTTATATAACACCTTTTATAGGTCTGCTTGTTTGCTTTACAAATACCATTCAGCATTAACTCGTGTAATGATTAATCATTTATTCCATGTTCAATTAGAGACTGTAGAATAATTTGAGAGTATTCTGTATATTTTTTCTTCTTCCTTTTCTTTTTCAGTTTATTTGTATTGTTTGCATGTTGTTAAATATTTGCATGTTGCTAAATATTTTTCTAGAACCTATCCTCACTGATTAGGAGTTGGGTTTTGTATCTCAGGGCTGGCTACAAATCCCTGTGTATGGTAGTCTGTTTTAGTGTTCAGAAAGAACATGTGAAAGGCTGGGTTTTGAGGTGGTGAGAGGCTTGAACTAACCTGGTTGTTGTGTCAAACTGTAAAACTTCCACTTCCAGGAAAACAAAGCATTTGATAAATAAAGAAACTTATTCCTATTTTGCTCCTCTTTGGTAACACTAGCTATATTTTCCATTTATATGCCAAAAAAAAGTGGTTAGACATTATCTAAAATTCTGAACTCTGTCTCTGCCTCTTCCAGCATGCTTGAAGATGACCTTCAGCTCAGTGACAGTGAGGACAGTGACAATGAACAAGTAAGTTTTGTATACTCCATGGAGCCAAGAATCCTTTTAAATCTATCTACATATCTATCTGAGCTGTGTCCTAACCTGTTTTTGTTCTTTCCTGGTCCTTCTTCCCCTTGTTGTGAATGCCTAGACTCCAGAGAAGCCTCCTTCCTCATCTGCACCTCCAAGGTACTGTCTGCGGGTTTCTTCCTATTTTGTATTTTTACTAAGTTGAAAAAATAAAGCCCTGCCTTAATATTGTCATACAAGGGGAAGGAGATGGAGGATCACAGTTACAGGAGATTGCCAGTTTAGTATTTTGGAAGGTTAAACCTGCCCCGGGGAGGTTATTAGAACTATGTAAGTGAAAGATTTCTGGCTGCACTTACATCATCAGTTTGGAAATAAAACTTTTTTTGGAATTTAAAATTTTTAAAGTTTATCCTCAGTAATGTATAACCAGTATTTGCAAAAATTAGAGAGCCCAAAGTTTTTATGAAGGTGACAGCTTTACTTTGTTTTCAAAATTTATAAAGCTAAATATTTTTCTAGAACTTGTTTTCTGCTCTGCCTGTTTCCTTAGTTTTGTGAATTCTGAAATTGTTTCAGTTGCTTTATAAAAATGACCTGCAGTTCATTTTCATGTGATGGAAAATGGCGCTGTTTTTGTAAATAAGCCGGCCATATTTTAGAAAATGTGGTGCTTTAATTTCTGGAAATGAGAACTATTTGAACTTCCCTTACAATATTTCCTACCTGCTTTAATATGACAAATATGTGTCTTTCAAGGACAAAGATTTAAATTATTTTATTCCCTGGAGATGTGCACAGGCATTGAGACAAGGTTAGCAATAAAAACTTGGCTATCACAGAGGTGATGTGCAGTTAGTGTGGAGGAAGGCCATGTAATTATACAGTCTTATAGGTTTAAAAAGTTTACTTGTTTATTGTCAAATTTTGTTGGAATTTCTAGAGGGTCTTGTCAACTCATAAAACATGAAAAAGTAGACTAACCAAAAAATAGAGGTAAAGGACAAAGAAAAAGCACAAGGTGGGGATAAGTTAGAGTCAGGAGCACTGATTAAAGGCATGTCCCTCTCTGATGCCACTGACTTGAGCTGAGCAGCCACTAATATGGAAAGGGCCTTAAAGTTAACCCAGCATTTTATGAGATTAGATAGTATTACTGTGTGTTTTAAAATTATTTTTACTAGTGATTTTAATTATTTAATAATTTTCATTCTAATATTTTATGTGTTACTTAAAATTTTATTTTCAAATATTTTAGGTAGATTTGGAAGTGTTCAGAATTATAATCAACGATCACTGTATTACCCATGCTTAGAAATTCTACCTGTATCTCACAGTATGCTCAGTGTTTTCTCATTGACTTAAGTTATTACCCAGTTGTTAAAATTGGAGTAATTTTCTCAAGCCACTTATAAAGAATAGCTCATTTTGTAATTCTGTCTAGAAAGCATGAGAATATAATTTCTGAGCTCACCCTCCAAAGGAACACAATTTTTATTCAGGGGTCTTTGGTTACCATATAGCTAGTTCTCATACAGAGCATATAGGAAGACTTTAACTTATTAATTTTTCTTTTGCAAACTAATTTTTGTTTGTTTGTTTTGTTTTTTTGTTTTTTTTTGTTTTCTACATCAGGGGCCAGCAAACTTAAAGGGCCAGTTAGTAAATAGTTTAGCCTTTGTGGGCCGCATAAGTTTCTGTTGTAACTACTGGATCCTGCTGTTATGGCCTGAAAGCAGCCACAGTTCTTAAGACAACGGGTGTGGGCGTGTTCTAATAAAACTTAGGAAACAGGCAGCCAGCCCAGGCCATGGTTTACCAATCTTTGACATCAAGCACCCAGTATCTGACTTAGCTTTTGTATAGCTTGACATGTTCTAAAGAAGGAAAACTCCAGACTTCTCTTCTATGCAGTTGTCTGGTGAACTGTTTTAAGGGCTTTTCAGACTACTGTGGGCCCCTCTCTCCCTGAGTGATTAGATAATACTGAGGCCCTTTCCAATAGCAGAAAAATGGGCAGGGAGGTAAAGAGGGAAGAAATTCGACTTGCATGGTACCTTCTAATTTTATCCTTTGGTTGCTTTGCAGTGCTCCACAGTCGCTTCCAGAACCAGTGGCATCAGCACATTCCAGTAGTGCAGAGTCCGAGAGCACCAGTGACTCAGACAGCTCCTCAGACTCGGAGAGTGAGAGCAGTTCAAGTGACAGCGAGGAGAATGAGCCCCTAGAAACCCCAGCTCCTGAGGTACCGTGACCCCTCAAGAAGGCCATCCAAGATGGCAGCGTTCTGTCTTTTAGAGCTGGAGTCAGTGTGGCACTGACCCGGGACGGAGCAGTTCTGCCCCATGGGCAATGCTTTCCTGCTCCTCTGCCATGTAGAACCATCTGTTTCTGCTTACGTACTTCTTACCAAATACTTGGCAATGGAGATTTGGGAGAGATGTTTTCTCTCGCCTGGTTAAAATGATACGTTCTTCTCTGTCATTGCTAGTGTTGTTTTTAAGAGCAGCTCATTAAGGATGTTTGCACACCATTTTATTTTCCCTCCTTTTGAGAAGGAAACTTGTTTTCAGTAGGCTGCTGTTTTAATATTAATGAGAATTCTTTTTGAAATTTCAGGAATGCCTGAATTAAAGAAAGCAAAAGGAGACCTCCTGATTTAGCAAAGGGCAGGAACGTAGAAATAAGTCATCAGTTCTATTTTTGAATCACTAAAAGCCGTGCATTAAATTGATGGCAAAGTGATTTTGCCAGGGCTCTGGTTCTTGTTCCCTTCGGCCCCATATAAAACAGATAATTGTGTGTGCTTGTCACCTACCCTCAGGAGATACTGTAAAGGTGAACAAACTGAAGAGACTGAAAATCTCAAGCACTAAATTTATCTAGAGGATTTATGCTATGTACTAGACGGTTGAGTATAAGAAATTGTTAGTAGCAACTAACAAGGTTGCCAAAAACCTTCAAAACTTGGGTAGGAGTGTAAAAATTATGCCGAAGAAAGGTAGTAATGAAAAGGGAAAGACATACTTACTTTTAGTGAATAAGACCAGCCCACATAGAGAAAACTGTCTGCATATTTAAGGTGAAAATACCAGGAAATGAGACTTTCTGATTAGGAAAGTTAAAAATTTTCTATATTCATCTCTTCTGCTTAGATGAGAGGTAGTTCTGTTACAGCATTAACCAAATACAACTAGAGATCATATAGTGAGATGTAAACATGGGCTTGTCTGAGGTCAAGGGAGGCTAAGAAAATAACAGGTTGGCATTTTTTGTTAAATGTGAATCTTTGGTCCAGAATAAATGCTCAGTTTTTTTTTGTTGTTGTTTTTTTTTTTTTTTTTTTGAGTGCATGAAAGTGGATCAGCATTAATTACACTTAAAATACCTTTCAGATTTCAGAAACTTCTCTGTTTCTAGGGCTCTTTGTTTTCTTGTGTGATAATAATTGCTATTGAAATAATTTTCTATGCCTCCGAGAAAAGGATGCTGAATATGCTATGTAGACAGATAGTGTGATGTTCATTGTTAATAAGATCTTTGCTGTATGTTTCATCTTTAGTAAGAAAAATTTGCATGCTTGTTAGATTATTGATATAAAGAAGATAATTCAATTAAATGAAATCAAAATAGTACAGCATTGGTTGAATAATTGAAACTTAAAAAAGATTAGATCTGGTGTTTCTACTATTGAGATGTGTGTCTCAGTACTCAAGAAGTTATTGGAATTATGTTGATTGAAATTTCTTAGCTGAAAAATAAGTGCTCCATCCTACTTCATATATATACACTCATATATATATACACTCATATATATATGAAATATAAATATATATATATATATATATATATTTTGTAGTTGTCAATACCTTTATTTTATTTATTTATTTTTTATGTGGTACTGAGGATTGAACCCAGGGCCTCTCACGTGCTAGGCAAGTGCTCTACTACTGAGCCACAATCTCAGCCCTTCTGCTTCATTTTTTAAAATCACTTTACTAATAGACTTGTATTTGTACGTATGTATTGATATGCAAATCCAGGCTTGTGGAGAGTTTGTATGTTACGTACTAAGTTCCATCTTCCCATGAATGTTTTCTAGGTTTACCTTTAATTTTCACTAAGGTATTTAACTCCTTTTTTCCCCCTTTTGTAAACAAATTCCTGCATTATTATATAAATCTCCTGTTTTAGTTGAAGGTAATGAGAATTCCATAATCAGCAATAGATACTAGTTTTACTTTCTCATCCACTTCTATTTTTAATGCTGGAAAACTTGGTAGTTATGGCTCCATTTTCATTCATTTCATATGATGAAATAGTTCCAGTGATTTAGGAGATCTGGAGCATTGCATGCATGCCGCTGGGCCGCTGCTGAACTTGGGACCCAGCCACGGTGGATTCCATTTCAGTATCTGCTTTATACTGGGAATCAAAATGCAGATCTCAATTTTCAGAATATGTAGGACACATTGCTTTTCTGCTACTTAAGAAAAATTCAGAAAACATGATTCCATCTGGGTTATTCAGGAATCTACTTCATTTCTTACTCTGTTCATTGTCTAGTCCCTTGGTAGTAAAGGACTTTGTGTTGATTGCCTCCTGCACTCTTGAAGCTTTGTCATAAAATGATTTAACTCTTCTCACCTCCATCAGCCCTGTAAGGTTAGCAGTTTTTGTTTTGCCTACAAAGAAGTAGTGGCACTGAAATTCAGCCTATGGTCTATGGTCATTTAACTCTAAAATATGATTCCCACCCCCCTTAGTGTGCCTATTTTTTCTTCTTCTTTGCTATACTTACATTTATTGTAACTCTGCTGTGTCAGTTGAGAATACCATGAATTCCATATCAGCCATAGGTAGTCTTAACTTTCTCTTCCTTTTGAAATTTATTACATTTTAATGTTTTTTTTCTTTTAAATTTTGTGCTTATATTCTCCATACCTATGAAATTATTATTTAAAAGGTAGGTACATATTGCACTTAACTCAAAACCTTTTATTCAGAACCACAATTCATTCTGAAATACATTAATTGACAATTTAAGAGGTTAGGAGAAATAAAAGGACATGTGACCAGACATTTATTAAAACACCTAAAATTTAATCATGTACTTTTTTCCTACTTCCAATATACAGTCTTTGTGTTGTACCAGCACTTGGCATACAGAAGGGAAATGAGGAAAGTCAGACAGAGAAATAAAAGCCTTGGTCCTGCCTGGCACTTATCTACTTAAAAATTATTTTACACCTATTTTTAAAATCAATCCCTTATGCAAACTTTTCCCTCTTCCCGGTAACCAAATAATATATCTGACCTTAAAGGGATCTTGTATCCATTTTACAACTTTATATTAAATACACAAAAAACAATTTGCTCCATTCTTTCCCTGTGTCTGGGCATACTAACTCAGTTTTGCTGTGAAAATGGGCCATAGGCTTCACTTCTGGACATTGAGGACTGCAGTGGAAGTCGGTGTGTTATTTTGGTAACCAGGACATTCCTTTAGGGACTACCAAGGTATCTAAATACCGCCCTATTTGGGGGTTGTGGGAGTAGACGTGCCTTACATCAGGAATGTCGTCCCTTTGGGTTCACACATACTCTTTTAAGGAGCATGTCAGTGATTGGCTGCAGTTATAAACAAAGCTTGTGGTGAGATAGCTCTCCTGAGGAATGATGGACAGGGTTCTGTACCTGATGCTATTGGCAAGCGCTATATCTTATTGCCTTGTCTGGTCAGTTAACCACTAGAGCTATTATACTCCCAGGTCTTTGCAGGAAATCATGCTTGACAAGTTGGTATTGTGCTGATATTTTCTCTACCCTTGACAATCATCTTGCTCTGTTAGAATATTGATTACAAATTTAGATTTACATGTGACAAAATGCCTTGCATGTTACAGTGGTTTTCTTCTTCCCTTTCTCCCTACCCTGAAATTCAAAGGAGAGGATGGATATAAAGTTGCTGGAATTATAGGAAGCTGTCAAGGAGATATGTGATCATAAGCCTCAGTATTGGGGGAGCAGACAGAGAGGAATTTATGCAGTCATCTTTCTGTCCAAAGTATAATCCTAACTAGTTTCTTAAAATTTCTTTTAGTTTTATTCTATTACAGACACACTAAACCCAAACTATCTAACATTTCCCTGGCCAAAAGCCATTATATTATATTCATAATTTTGCATTGTTAGATTTACATGTTTTTGCAGAGTTGGATTATTTAGTATATTTTACTTAGAAAATTGTCAATCTTTCCCTTAAAAATCTTCCATGTTGGGGCTGGGAGTGTAGCTCAGTGGTAGAGCACTTGTGTAGTATTTAGGAAGCCTTGGGCTTGATCCCCAGCATTGCAAAACAAAAGTTCCTCTGCCTACTGGAGTGTTCTCCCTTATCTATAATCCAGTAAGGCAAAATCCTACGTGGACTGTCTTTCCACTTCCTGGTGCTTTGTATACACGATTTAGTTATTCATATAAATCATCTGAGAGAATGAATCTTAAGAAAAACATGTAACAAGCCTGTGATATATGGCCCTTTATCATTGCTCACTCTATTGGATGTGATATGTTTTTATATGATATAAAACTTCATGTGCCTTGGAATACTCAAATATTTTAAGTGTATATTCCTGTATCTAAGACACACAGAATTGGAAAGTGGAAATGCAAGAATCTTTTGTTATTCTGTTAAGATCTTATAGTCTAGTTAGAAAGATGTGGTGGTGAGCATCAATAGTTAATTCAGCCACAGTGGTTTTAATTAAAATTACTTAGGAACTTCTGCTGATTTGCCAAATCAGTTGTACAGGCAATCAGTATAACCTCATTGCTCCTACCTGTGTCTTAGAAATACTGGTGCTATTTTAGTCCAGGTTGCCTCAAACAAGAGACCTAATGTCTAACTTTTAAGGAACCTAGGTCAGAGGTTTGGCTAATGTAACTTCACTTGATTATTTTTATTAAAGTATAAAATTCAAAAACAGTATGTATCTGTGATACACTGATAGCTTTATTACATGTAATTTTTTTTATTTTTAAAATTTTTTTTGTTGTAATGGACACAGTATCTTTATTTTGTTTATCTTTTTGTGGTGCCAGGGATCCAACCCAGTGCCTCATGCATGCCAAGCAGGTGCTCTACCATTGAGTCACAATCCCGCCCCTAAATATTTGTTTTTTAAGTAAATAAGAAAAATGGTGAAGAAAAGTCATTTTCAATTGAAAAGCATGCCAAAACAAAATATGTATGTATATATTTATTTATTTTTTAAAAATGGAAAGCATGCCAAAGAAAGGATAAAGCATGACTCTCATGGGTAATCACTTAACTCAGTTCATGCAGTAGCTGCCTTCTAAAAATTCTTTATAAAAGGAGTCTTTTTATTCCTCGTTCTATTTTTTATTCTCTCATAGAGTAGCCTCGAAGTCAAGACATGTCAGTTCTCTTTAAATTATACCATGATTCCCATTGGAACAAAAGATTCATGTTACAAAGATTTCTCAGCAGTTGTCAATAACCTATTAGTCAATATCTACCATAACAAAATCCCCAAATCACAAAAATATTGAAGATAGAGTCCAACTTATAATTTGAGAAGGATAAATAGAATCTAAATTCTTAGACTTGTAATGATTGCCTCTCCTGGGATAGACCTGATTAATTGGGTGACTATCACAAAAGAATAGTTTGTCATCAATGGTCAGCTAACACTTTTCTTTATTTCCTTATTTTCAGCCTGAACCTCCAACAACAAACAAATGGCAGTTGGACAACTGGCTGACCAAAGTCAGCCAGCCTGTGGTGCCTGCCGAGGCCCTGGGGAACACAGAGCTCCCCCGTCGGCGCCAGGAAAGCAAGGGTGGCAGCGAGAGCACCACAAGTCAGGAGCATTCTGAGTCCAAAGATCCTCCCCCGAAGAGCTCCAGCAAAGTCCCCCGGGTCCCTTCTGAAGGCCCCCACCCTGGAAAGAGAACCTGTCAGAAGTCCCCTGCACAACAGGAACCCCCACCTAGGCAAACTGTTGGAACCAAACAACCCAAAAAACCTGTCAAGGCCTCTGCCCAGGCAGATTCTCGGGCCAGCTTGCAGGTGGAAAGTGAGCCAGGACTCCTTCCCTATGGCTCAAAGGACCAGACCTCCAAAGATAAGCCCAAGGTGAAGACGAAAGGCAGGCCCCGGGCTGGGGGCAGCAGAGAGCCCAAGCCTGCAGTGCCAGTCCCCAGTGAGAAGAAGAAGCACAAGAGCTCCCCGGCACCCCCCTCCAAGGCGCTCTCAGGCCCAGAACCCACGAAGGACAGTGTGGGAGACAGGAGCCCTGAGCACTTTGCTCTTGTCCCCCTGACTCAGAGCCAGGGCCCACCCCATAGTGGTGGTGGTGGCAGGACTAGCGGCTGCAGGCAAGCAGTGGTGGTCCAGGAGGACAGCCGCAAAGACAGACTCCCATTGCCTTTGAGAGACACCAAGTTGCTCTCACCGCTCAGGGACACTCCCACCCCACAGAGCTTGATGGTGAAGATAACCCTAGATCTTCTCACTCGGATTCCCCAGCCACCCGGGAGGGGGAGCCGCCCAAAGAAACCGGAAGATAAACAGCTGCTTGTAGGGAAGAAGCAGGACTCTGAGAAGAGAAGCTCAGACAACTCCAGCAAGTTGGCCAAAAAGAGAAAGGTGAGTAAGGGAGACAGGCCTCCTGTGACACTGTGGGGTGGCCCTGGTGCAGGGCTGGGGCCTGGGGGAACTTTTGGGCTCTCAGTTAACACTGGGGTTTTACCACTTGAACCACTAGATTTTGCCCTAGAAATTAAGATCTTACATAAATTGAAAGGTTAATCAGTATTCTGAATTACTGAAATAACTGCTCTGTACAAGTTTTATTCTTATAGGATGAACTTTTTAATACCAACGTTACATCCATAGTTTATCTCCTGACTCCTCACTAGAGCTGTTAAACATATGATCAGGATAGCTCGTGAGTAACATAGGTTTCTGGGTACATTGCAAAGTACTGGACATCTTTCTTTTTTTTTTTAATATTCATTTTTCAGTTTTCAGTGGACACAATATCTTTGTTTTATTTTATGTGGTGCTGAGGATCGAACCCAGTGCCCCACGCATGCCAGGCGAGCACGTTACCGCTTGAGCCACATCCCCAGCCCACCCCCACCCCCCCTTTTTGTTTTTTTAGTGGTGCTGGGGATTGAACCCAGGGCCTTATGCATGCAAGGCAAGCACTTTGCTAACTGAGCTGCATCCCCAGCCCCCTACTGGACATCTTTCATTATGATTTTTGGAAGTTTCGTTTGACACAGTAAAGGAAAGGAGGAAATCCATGCATTATTTGAGACCCTCTTACTTGGACACACCACTGTTTGGGTAGTTGTCCTTTCTTCACTTTTAGTACTGAGCTCTGGACCTATTTATTATTTGCTTCTTTGAGATGATGAAAGATGAGCACTTTCCCAGTGGTGTTCCCCACACCAGCCTGCTCGGGATCCCAAGACAAAGGCGCAGGAGAGGCCAGCTCTCTCCTGCTGAGAAGGGGTAACATTTTTAACACTCTTATAAGCACATGAAAAATGTCTTACTCAGCTGTGGAACTTGAGCTAAGAATAACAGAGGGGGAAAAAAAATCATGAAGCCTGCTGTCATGTCTGAGATCCGACTGATTAATCCACTAGCTAAAAATAAAACACAACTTTAACAAACAGCAAAGGGCAACTGTTATCTCTAGAACCTGCTTGCATGGGACGTGAGAGTGTACACTGCTACCACTGCATCAGCTACAGGTCAAGTGAGCTGGCATCAGGTGCTCATTGGTGGTGCTGTTTCAGTTAGAATAGAGCATATTTTCATGCCAAAATGCTTCCAGAATGTTAAAAAATGTAGTGTGTGTGTATGCATGTATGCATGTGTATACATGTGCAAAGTGTAAAACTTTCAGAACGAAATTGTCATGGACCTGCTTAGGAAAAAACGGTGCTTTCATCTAATGTCCTTGAGAAAGACTCATGCACTCATTTACCTCCTCCTCCAGGGAAGTCTTTCATCTCCTGTACCCTCTGGCTTCTATGGTTTTGTACGGTCTCCAGTGCTAACCCATTGCATTTGCTGGAGTGAGGAGAAGCATTCACCTCCACAGCGCTGACTCACTAGGTGGAAATGTTAGATATTGGAGGTTCTCTCACAATTCTTAGCCTTCTCCATCACCCAGTGCAAATCTAGAAGCATTGCTTGTGACTCCAGAAAAACTTCAAACTCTCCCTGTTAGCTATCAGAACTGGGCCCTCAGGTTTTGGCTGAGATCCTCTAGGGCAGCTCATTTATCTTTCTATTTAGAACATAGAGAAGTAATGATCCCTCATTTTAATCGAGTGCATGATTTCTTTAAAGCTCTGGCAAGCAGCTGAGAGATCTGGCCTGGAACAGTCTGTCTGTCTTAGTTATTGACAGCGTGGAGGTCTGACCCCTTGGTTCCCAACCCTGGCTACATTACAGTCACCTGGGAAGACCTTGGCAATGATGGCAGGGTGCCCATCCCCACTGATATTTTTGAAATTCCTTAGGTAATCCTAACGCCTAGCAGGGCTTGGAACTACTAGAGCAGTGCTTGACCGCAGTGCGTCAGATCATGCAAACTACCTCTGTGGGCTGAGAAATTCATCAGGTGTGCTGCATTTAGACAGTTCAGATCTGGGCAGCTGGGAACTTGCCTGAAGTATGTCATTAGTTAGTGACTGACTTAGTCGCTCTCAGATGAATAAGTATAATCAACCCTATACTTATCTCCTGAGCATGTGTCCTTTGTTGTTTTGTTTTACTTCCTGCTGGGCTGGGTTATATGTGGGAGGTATTGGACATGTTATATTCATATCCCATCCTTCCTTGTATGGGACTGGCTGTCCCCTTCTCCAGTACCCTGTTTTTTCAGTGCTTCCTGAATCCAGCTCTACAGAGCACAGGGGTTCCAGGAGGCAGCTTGGCATGGGGGCCTGGATCCTATGGGAGAGGAAAGGCTGCCTACCTTTTTAACGCTTGGGTATTTCCCCCTAAATATGGATTGTGGAGACTTTTTTTTTTTTTTTTTCATTTTAAGTGTGAACACTTTGAAAAGCTCTCTGAAGATATAGTCAGAGCCACTGAAGAATATGCCTGATCCTTCACATAAGTAGAATTTACAGCTTTTCTTTGAAGGCCCATTAGAGCCTATTTCTCTCCTGGAGCAAAATTTAGCAAATATCTCCCGAGGGTTCACAGGTTCTTATAACTATTTTAGACTTAAGCACATATAAAGAAGAAGGTCATAAAGAGTAGATGGTAGGGGCTGGGGGTATAGGTCAGTGGCAGAGCACTTGCCTAGCATTTGTAAGGCCCTGGGTTTGCTCCCCAGCACTACCAAAATGACCCCCACCAAAAAAAGTTAATAATGGTTAACAGCTGTGATGAAGCCATCAAATGTGGCACTTGTGAAAAGGTACCCACTTTTCTGTCTACTTTAAAGGGGAGGGTAAGGAATCATTCTTGAGGAAACATGAAGAAATTTTGAGGGAGAATAGGTATGAACTCCTTACATAACTGTTGACTTTTATCAATCTGATTGCACTTTAGAATTTAAAATAGCACCTATGTTCTTTTATATAATTCTTTTATTTTATTTTTTCAATTTGTTCTAATAAGTTATACATGACAGTAGAATGCATTTTGACACATTGTACACAAATGGAACACAACTTCTCATTCCTCTGGATATACATGGTGCAGTCACAGGAGTGGTGCAATCATCCATGTATATAGGATAATAATGTGGGTCTCGTTCTACCATCCTTCCCATCCCTACAGCCCCACCCTTCTCCTCACTCCCCTTGCACAATCTAAAGTTCCTTCAGTCTTCCCTACCCCTAATTATGGATAGCATCTGCTTATCAGCCTTTGGTTTGGGATTGGCTTATTTCACTTGGTATGATATTCTCTAGTTCCATCCGTTTACCTGTAAATTTTTTAAGGCTGAATAATATTCCATTGTGTATACATACCACATTTTTTTTTGTGTATGTGTGTGGTGCTGGGGATTGAACCCAGGGCCTTGTGCATGCTAGGCAAACACTCTACCAACTGAGCTATAACCCCAGCCCATACCACATTTTCTTTATCCATTCATCTGTTGAAGGGCATCTAGATTGTTTTCATAGTTTTTAGCTGTTGTGAATTGAGCTGCTATCAATATTGATGGGGCTGCATCATTGTAGAATGACAACTTTAAGTCCTTTGAGTAAAAACGAAGGAGTGGGATAACCGGGTCAAATGGTGGTTCCATTCTAAGTTTTATGAGGAATCTCTGTACTACTTTCCATAGTGGTTGCACCAGTTTGCAGTCCCATAAGCAATGTATGAGTGTGCCTTTTCCCCCACATCCTCACCAATACTTATTGTTGCTTATATTCTTGATAGCTGCCATTCTGACTGGAGTGAGATGAAATCTTAGAGTAGTTTTGATTTGCATTTCTCTAATTGCTAGAGATGATGAACACTTTTTCGTATGTTTGTTGATTGGTCATATTTTTTTCTTCTGTGAAGTGTCTGTTCAGTTCCTTAGCCCATTTATTGATTGGGTTGTTTGGCATTTTTGATGTTAAGTTTTTTGAGTTCTTTATATATCCTGGATATTAGTGCTCTCTCTGAGATGTGTGTGGTCGATTTTTCACCCATTTTGTAGGCTCTCTCTTCACATTATTGATTTTTCCTTTTCTGAGAAGAAGCTTTTATTCTTAAGCCTAGTTCACATTTTCCAGATTTGGAAGAAAAATTGGAGTTGAGAATCATGGTATGATACACACTCAGGCCAGTGCAATTGGAATGTACCTATAGATGTACCTAACAGGCATGGAGCTATTGTATAAACCCTGCTGGGTGCTAGGCATATGTGTAGCTAATACTTCTTTTCACCCAATCATCTTATAGGTGGATAACCTGTCTTCAGTCATTTAGACAAATAACTGAACAAGGGATACATTTCTAAATAAATGCTTTACTAAGAAACTTTAACATTAGGTGGGGGAGTGCAGAATTTCAGTGATATTTAATAGTGTTTTACACAGTTGGGAAGGTAAGTTGTATGTGGTAGGAAAAAGCATGTTTCTATTGCTTGAGATGATTGATTCTTTATTTCCCTTCCATCCAAAATCTGTCTTTTCTTGGCTTGTTTCTCCTCAGATTTTATCCTTAAAATCAAGGGGTTTGAAAGCTCATCCTTTATAATTTTCTGAAGTGGCTTATAGCCATCTCTTCATGCCTGTCAGTTATTCTAAGAGCATCACACCTGTAGGCCTGTGCAAGCTGAGGCTGTTTCTAGACATTCCAGTCCCTTGGTGTGTGTATCCTCACCAAGGAGGAAGAGTGATTGATTTTCCTTTTCTGCAGCATTTGCCCAGTGAACATGACCTGTCTTCTCATTAAGTCCCTTCCCATGTTCTTGGTGTGAACTGGCCTGGGTAGCCCTGTGTCTTTCTCGATTAAATCCCCTTCAGAGGGAATTGCCTGACTTTTCCAGAGTATTGTCTGCTTCTCCATTTTTCCTCTGCTTCATGTGCTACCAAACTCATTTGCTTTTCTTTGGGAGAATATAGAATATAGTAGAGTCTTGGACTTGGTTGAAAGAACCTAGCAGTCCTCATTAAGGCCGCCCCCTTTTGTATGTGTTTGGTACTGGAGTTTAACTCAGGGTTCTCTACCATTGAGCTACATCCCCAGCCCTTTTTAATTTTTATTTTGAGACAGGGTCTTGCCGAATTGCTGAAGCGGGCATCTAACTTGCAATCCTCCTGCCCCAGCCTCCTGAGTATGTGGCATACGGGTGTGTGCCATTATGCTCCGCAGGCTGCTACCTTTTCATAGATGAGATCTAGAAAGGTGCTAGCATCACTTGGCTTCTGAGTAAAAGCAGGTCTGGAGCTCAGGTTTGCTGCCACCTCCAAATCCTGTGAGTTTTCCTCTTTTCTCTCACAAATTTTTGTATACACATGTTGCTGGAGATGCTTGAGAGAGGTACAAGATCAGAGTTCAAGATCCATGTATTAACTGCAGCCATTAGGATTAATAGGACAGTTATAATATTGTCCCAGTTTAATCCATTGCTCCCACCACTGCCACCCCGAGGCCCACGTATACTCTTTGTCACCATTTCAGCTTCCCTTTCAGATACTCCGTTATACCCCCGTCACAGCCAGGCTGTATCTTTCCAACCAGAAACTCTGTGCCCTCAAATAAGTGCTGGTCCTGGAAAAAGCCACCTTCGTTTCCCATTGCTACCTACAAGTGCCTACATGACAAGCCAGGTGCTGGGGCAGGCACCTGGCTGCCCTGGAGGCGTTCTCTTACAGAAACTGACTTGGCCAAGCACAGCCCCATCTCTTCCTTTTATGGTCTCAGTTCTTGCCCTTTAGCTCTGTTCTGTAGGTGGAGCAGCACTTGGCAGATCACCCAAGGCTGCCTGACCCAACAGGTTAGGGAAAGCAAACAAGTGAGCTAGGACCAGATTGGCAGCCAACAGTCTCCTCTGTGGTAGGTGCCAGCACCCTTGAGATACTTACCCTAATGGAACAAGAATTTCTGAATCTCAGGCCTTTGACTGGAGTCCCTGAAATAGAGGCAACCTGGGGATAAAACCATTGGGCAAAGAGATTTCATTTTTCCTCCCAAAGAGTATGTGTTACTGCCCTCTGATTTTTCACGAGTCTGCTTGACCCAGAAGCATCTAAAGAACACCATGCCACCTATCTTTCAGCAGTACTTGGAACTTTGAAATTCAAGTCTTAATTTCTTAATACTCAGTATTCTGGCCCCACTTTAATGATTCTTCCCCCAGTCTATTCACTTGATTTCACTATGAGGCCCCCTTCCAGGACCTTCACAAATGCTGAGTGCCTGCTCTGAGGAAGCCCCTGACTGTTCCAGACAGAGAAGAACAAAGTTCCAAGTGCATAGTGTACAAGGAAACACTAACCTCCAAACCCGCAGACGTGAGCTCAATAGTTATGCAGAATCAATAGGATTGCTTTATTTACTTAAGTGGCTCCTTCTACTAGCTTCTGGAGTATTCTCTGCATCTGAGTTGTTAAATATCAATTTAAAGCATATTATTTCCATAAATCGCTAAATGTTAGCATTGTTAAATGCCAGTACTGAAGTCAGTGTCTGGTGATTTCTTGTTTGTTGGCTCTTCTTTTGAGCCTTCAAATGGCACAAGCAGAGTTTGTGGGAATTAACTCACCGTGAATCTTATTTTCATGTGTGGTTTATAAGGTCTGCCACTTTTGTTTATAATAATAACTAACATGTCCTAAGCAGCACAAAAACATACAAACAAAAATTAGCTCTCATTTCACCTCTGGACTCCAGTGTTTTCTTGAAGAGGAAACTACTTTATGGATGGTTTATGTTAGTTTTGTCTTGGAGACCTGTGTTATGTCATTAACTAACAGGAAATGACTTTCGTGTGTGTGTGTGTGTGTGTGTGTTTTACTATCTCATGTTCTCATGTGCAAGTTAATATTCATCTAGATATTTTAGCAAATTCTGACTTTCCCCCAAAATAATTTTCCCATTTTCTTGCAATTCTTGCTAGGCCAGATATGCCACATAGAATCTAAAATTTAAGATAATTCCCTGACCCCTTTGGTGACAGTGAACCTGGGTGCAATTAGGGCTTAATTGACAGGGGGGTTTCCACAACCTGCAGCAGGATTCTGTTTTAACCCTGTTGGTGATTCTTTTTCTCTTAACCATGGTTTGCCATCTCTGAAGTGCTACCACTGTAAATTGTTGAACAGGAGTTTGTGTGTTTACAGAGCTTGTCACAGTGTCCCTGCAGGCTTCTCCTGGCTTCTGCCAGTGCCTTTGACTTCTGAACTTTGCTACCCGCTGGTGCTCACAGAACAAACAGCCATTTACTACTTCCTGTGGCATTTCAGTCATGGGTTTAGGCCTTGCTTACATACCTCATATAGCACTCATCTCCTTATTAGGACCCACAAGATACATTTCCCCCATTTTCCCATAGAGAATGGTTACATTTCTGCTGATTTATTTATATCTTATCCCTATAATTCCTTCTTTGTGTTGGCTAATTATAAATTCAGAACCCAATTTATAGCAAACTATGTTTGTTATAGAAATATAGTGTGAACCACATATTAATCTTAAATTTCTTTTTTTAATAAAAAATGAAAAAAGAAAGCTAATGGCAATAATTTCAGTAATTTTACTTAATACAAGATATCTCAAACTTCCATCAACCTGAAAACTGTTAAATTCTCTCTTGGCACCACATCTTCAGAGTCACTTCTCATTTCAGACCAGCCACGTTCAAGTGCAGGTGCTCCCTATGGGCTTACCGCCCAGCCTGCTGGCAGGAGCTGGCAGGAGCCTGCAGGGCTGTGAGAACTGATGGCCTTCAGAGAGTATGCACCTTCCCTTGGCTTTAATTCCTCTCCTCCACCCATATTTTCCCTTTATTTAATGTTCTCACTTCTGCACACAAGACTAAAAACAAGTATCTTTGTAAGCCACCATGAATGAATCTATTTTGAAACAAGACAGTACATAAGTGAATAAAAGGGTTTTTCCAGAAGATTCTACATAGGGCTGGTTGGAAGTACACACAACTAAAGGCACATGAGTTGGCAGAAGGGAGGGATTTTTATTTTTTATTTTTTGTTCTTTTGAGCAGGGCTGGGCTGTTTATTAATGTCTGGGTAGACCTTGAGCCTAAACATCTTAATTTATTAATTTTTCTTGGAGAAGTTCAGGGAAAGAGGAAGACACAGTGGTGAAAAACCAGTACCATCCACTGTCAGTTAATTTGAAGAATGTTGTTCTCCTTTAAGGCCTAAGAGGATTTGGGATTGATTGAGGATTGTCCTAGATTGACTGGTGGTGACCCAGATTTCTAACTCCATGAACTCAGTTGGGGAGTCCAGTTCTCATTGTGTAGCAGAGTTCATTGAAGGACTCCTACTTATCACATCACTGCCACTTGCTGGAGAGAGCGTGGACTCCTTCTTTAGCCAGTCCAGTGGCAAGGAGGCCACTGTGAAGTCCTTATGTTAGACTTCTTGTACGTAACATAGGTGTTCATGGTCACAGGTAGCACATGAGAACATGGAAAAGGCTTCATGGTTGGCTGTGAAGACTTGTTCTTCTGATGATTAACCGTATTTAGCATTTTAGTTGTAAAATGGGTGCTTTTGAATTACTTAAATCCTATAGTTAGGTTCCCTTTCTTTCCATATTCCCACTAAAATCATATTTGTAGTCCTTCATTTTTTAATAAGAATTTTTTGGGAAGATACAAATGTGTAATATGGGGTGGAGGAGAGCAAGATAAAGATAATATTGGGGATGGTGAGAGAATGGAGAGGGAAAAGACAGAATCTCCCAGTAACTATTTTTATTTTGTGAAATATCTGTATAATTCTTTCTGTGAGACATGTAGAGGATTTTATAGTCAGTTTCTTTTTCAGAATTTCTCTATTCTTCATTAGGAGTAGGTTTTCAATATTCCACTCTGAATTTTATACATACAATAAGTTCGTGGATGTAAGTGAATGGTTCTTTTGAAAGAAGTGGGAGGGGGCTTCATAAAATCATCCCTGTGTTGCTTGATGTGAATTGGCATGTTTTATTGATTCTTTGCCTTTTTTTTTTTTTTGGCGCTACAGCCTCGTGCATGCTAATTATTGAGTCTTTTAATATTTCGAAAAATATCAATGATGTGTTGAAGTCTGTTCTTGTTGTCATCTATTATTTTAGACTTCACCTACCTTTTTTTTTTTTTTTTGGTACCAGGGATTGAACTCAGGGGTGCTTAATCACAGAGCCACATCCCTGACCCTTTTTTATATTTTATTTAGAGACAGGGTCTTGCTGGATTGCTTAGGCCTTGCTAAGTTGCTGAGGCTGGCTTTGAACTCAAAATCCTTTTGCTTCAGGGTAAAAGCCACTGGGATCAGAGAAGGTGTGTTACCACTGTGCCCAGCAGATATCACCCCTTTCCGTGGTATTGGGAATAGTCTCTTTTGTGCAAAGTCCGTTTCAATACAACCCTCATCAAATTTAGATAACGTATCCTCTCTGCCCTCACCCATCACAAATGACCTTTTAAGTTCTAATGGGATTACTTTGAGTACACAGATGTCTCTACAAGTTGAACTATTCTCTTTGTTGCTTCTGTATTCTCTTTTCTGTTTTGTTGGTACAATTAACATTTGTGTCGTTTTGCCTTGCTTGTTATATTTCCATTAATAGAGCGAAACAGAAAGAGACTATGATAACAAAAAAATCAGACTGGAGAAAGAAGCCAAATCACAGTCCTCTTCATCCTCATCCTCCCACAAAGAATCTTCTAAAACAAAGTGAGTATGGAGATCGGATTGGGAACAGCCTAAAAAGGTGACCAACTCTTCTTGAGTCTTGGAAAGGCAAAAAAAAAAAAAAAAAAAAAAGTGTTCTGTGGTAGAACCAGTGGACTAATGAACTCATTCTGGCTATTTTGATGATGATGTGTTCCTCTCATCATGCGGGAATTGACAATTCAGCAGCAAATTTAGATTCATCAGGAGCATTTTCAGTAAGGGAAGTTTTCTAAATATATGGAATTGTGTTTTCTAATGGGAAGTACGAAAGGTGTTATTACTTTCCCTGCTTTGCAGAGTGGGCAGTGGAGGCACAGAGGGAGAACAGTTCGCTCAGAGTCACAGAATTTCTGCTGGGTGCTAAAGCTAGCATTTAGACACCACGGGGAGCCTAGGTTCAGTGTTCTTTCTTTTAGAGATGAGTAAGAATCTGAAGGCCAACCAGCCTCTGTCACTAGGGAGACAGATGACAGATGAGAATGGTAGTGCTAAGACGGTGAATAAAAAAAAGTAATTGCTATTTACTGATTTATTCAAGAAATTGCCTCACAAAGTGACTTGGCCAAAACAGGTATAGAGTGCCATGATTGGGAGCCCACCGGGAGGTGAGAGAGGGAGAAGAAGGTGTCAGGCGTGGAGGCAGCCGTTTGGTTTGCCTGTCTGTTGGCCAGGGCAGGCCATAGGCTAGGGAGCCACTGAAAGGTAGAAACATTTGGGGTAAGTTAAGACCATTGTCATTATCGGCAAGCTAAGTGAAAAGTTATACAGCTTCATTTGTTACTAATGAATAGGGAAAGATTTCTCAAGGCATGAAAAGTCCCTAAAATTTGGCTTTTTCTACAACATGATTTCATGCTCAGTAGCCCTGCAGTTTTTCATGCCAGCGGCCATTTTATCCTTTAAAATGAAACTAAGCTGTGCGATTTGTGTTCTGCCTCAGTTTAGTTTTGTGTGATGTTTCACTCCAGGACACCTAGGCCCTCCTCAGAGCCTGCAAAAAAGGAAATGCTTCCCCCTCCACCTGTGTCGTCCTCATCCTCGTCCTCCCAAAAACCAGCCAAGCCAGCACACAAGAGGTCAAGGCAGGAAGCAGACATTTGTGGCCATGACCCTCCCAAAAGTGCCAGTAGTACCAAGAGCAACCATAAAGACCCTTCCGCTTCAAAGCACAGAAAAGTACAGGGGAAAGGCTCTGGAAGCTCCGCTGAACACAAAGTAAGTAGGGAAGGTAGTAATTATGCAAAATGGGATGTATTGGTGTGTCTGTAAGTTCTCAAAGTAAGTCCCTAATGATTGAACTTCAGAGTTGTGCCTCTGTTTTAATATGGCAATGATGAGTTTTCTTTAGAGTCGTAATTTTGGGAGGGGGAATAAAAGGTAGTTGATATTAAACAAATGTTAGGATCGATTTGTTCTTAGTAATTCAAAGGCAGAAAATTCAGTAGGTTTTTGTACTAATTCTTTACCAGATATTTTGCAGCAAAAAAAAAAAAATGGTTACCCCAGTTCTTCCTTTGAATATTTGATCACAAATGTTTTGATTATTGGTTATAATGGGAAAAAAATTAACAGCTTTCTCAAACATTACTTCTTCTTATTAATCTGGTCCCTCTGTGTTTGTATTGACTAAGAGAAAATGTTCTATTTGGCTCTGTGAATGACCTGTTCTTTGGGACTTACTTAACATTGTTTTGAGTTTACAACCAGAATCTAAAAGTTTCAGTTGCATCTGCAGCTGGGAAAGTGTGTGACCCAGTTCACTTGTGCAGTGATTGACTTAAAATTTCTTTTTCAAACTACTGTTTTTGGATGCTTAAGAGGGATGTTCCTTTAGGACATTGATCTTAGGGTTATAGTATAATTTGTGTCTGATTTTTTTTTTTTTTTTAAAGGGATCTTCTGGAGACACTGCAAATCCTTTTCCAGTGCCTTTTTTGCCAAATGGTAACTCTAAACCAGGGAAGCCTCAAGTGAAGTTAGACAAGTAAGAGTTCTGGTGCTTTCTTATTTTTCATTCTCCTGGTTTCCCTCTCCTTTGCTTCTTCCCTTTCTCTTTACCTCTTGTCCTTCATTATTTACCTCATCCTCTTCCCTTTCTCCTCCTATCTTCTGTCATCTCTCAGTTTTAAGTTATGTTACCTTCATCTAGTAATTTTAGGTTCCTGTGACCCATCTCTGCTTTTTCCTCTTCTTTTTCAGACAGCAAGCTGATTTTCACATGAGGGAAGCCAAAAAGTTGAAGTGCAAAGCAGAGTCAATGGTCAGTCTTGGCTTTTATTCCCTTCGTTGAATGGTTTTTTTAATTATTAAAAAAAAAAAAGGAAGAAAGAAGAAGAAGAAGAAAAAGAAATGAAGCCAGGCATGGTGGGCTTTAATTCCAGCTAATTAGGAGACTAAGGCAAGAGGGTTGCAAGTTCTAGGCCATCCTGGGCAACTTGGTGAGATCCTGTCTCAAAAAATGTTAAGAGGTGGGGATGCATGTTCAGTGGTAGAGTTCAATCCCCAGAACCGGAATCGGGTGGGGGATGCTATAGTGCTTATGGTCTCTCTTCTACTACATTCTCCATCATTAAACATGTGCATGGGGCATTTTGGGGTGGGAGTCACCAGGAGAAAGAAGTATATGGTCTTGCTATTGGTCGTAATACAATCAGAAGAACCAGGATTTTAATGACCAAAGGATAGGGAGTTTCAGTGGGATTATTTTCTTTGGTTCTGTTGATTCAGTATGATCATGGGCCAATTTACACATACTTAGTCATAAGTAGTCTATCTAAATGAGTGAAAGTTGATCTGCTTGGTGGTGATTTAATATATGAGTGAGTTTTTTTGTCCCATTGAGTCAATTCTTTGGATGTGAAAAATGAGTTCGGCTTTTGAAAATCAGTCAATTTGTGCCCACCCTGACAGTTGACAAGGTGAGGAAGCCTGTTTACATTCCAAAATTACCTAAAATCCCTGCAAGACTGACCTGAAGGAATAGTTGACCAAGGCCAGTAGATGAAAATTTGAGATAAAGGTGATGATTGTACTGTTGGTAAACATGCTTGAAGATGTGAACTCTCTTTACTAATTGGCCTATGGATTTTCTGGAAGGTGGTGGTTTGCTGTTAATGATATATGTAACTAAGTATGCTTTTACATCTTTACTGCAATATAATGAGATCATGTTTGCCCTTTGTCATATTTAAACACCTAAGACCCTATGGCTTTTATTTATTGAGCATGTCCCCCAAACCTAAACCCAACTGCATGTGGCAGGGTTCACAGGGACCTAAATCTGGCCACTCTGCAGGAGTCATTCAGACCTTGGCTTGGTGCTCTCACCCTAGGCTGCAGATGGGCATCCATTCTCCTGCTCTCTAGAGGGGAAACAACTGAGACCTTTTACAGGTCCCATTGCTAAAGGGTCCCATGTTGGATGCCATGAGGGAGCTCAGGACAAGATGCTCTGTCCCTATCTTACATCACCCTGTGTCAGGATGACTTGAGTCAGACCATGGCTGCACGACACAATGGTGCTCTTTCAGCTGCCTCCTTACTGGAACTGTATGACTCTTGTGAGTTTTGTAAAAGAGTAAATATTTAGCACTATTATCTAGTTATCTGAAACCTATCTTGACATTGGACATGTTCCACACTAGATTCCCTCATTCAAACAGTATTCCAGGTATTTGCTTGAATCTATACATAGGTATATCTTCTCTCTGCATAAGGCAGCCATACAACCCAGTGTGCCAGGACAGTCCTGCTTTATGTCTTGTGTATCCCATTGCAGTAATTATACCCATTTTGCTCTCAAAGTCTGCCAGTTTGGACAATAACCTGTCTGGTCACCTTTTTCATAATATTCTGTCTTAATGGCATAATATCTCAAAGATGTGCACTTGGCATCCAGAGAGCTAAGAAGTGCTCAGCCAAGTGCAGGGGAGCGTATTTCATCTTTACGTGCACTTGATGAGTAGGGAAATCAGAGCTGCACTGCTGTAGCCCTGTTTGGGGAGAGTGATCACAGGGATAATGCTTCTTAGCCTTGCAAAGTACTTGAGGAAGTGGATATTCCCTAATCAGCTTGTTAGCTGATAGTTTCGTTTGCTTCTGCCCTAAGGCTAATATTAATTTCGGAAATTCCATGAAATAGATGGTTTTACATAAGATAATTTTGAGAATTAGATTCCCATCAGTGAAGCAAATGAATGTGTCCTATTCTTCTCATTGAGGCATACTAATTTGACTTCTATTCTTTTTTTTTTTTTTTTTTTTTTTTTGGTCACTTATCTTCTGAGCCTTGGCTCTCTAGGAAAGAAATTTTGAAGCTAAGTTATTTTTAAAAGTTAAAATTTTTAGAGCACTAAGATTGAGTGTTCTGAAGTATATGTCTGCATATAAACGTCTACGCATCTGTCACATGAAGTCGTGTTTCATATGCATGTCTGTGTAGCAACTCCATTTGTTCCACGGAGGTTAGACACAGAACAGTATGTGCCCTGAGGGAAGCACACAGCAGTGCACTAAGGGAAAGAGCTGTTCCTGCTCCTGCCTGTGGCGTGTAGCAGCAGCCTGTAAATTAAATAACAGTCCTAAGCTACCTGATAGGTCACTGCCCTCATGTATTGCTATTTTAATTCTTTTTTAACATATCAAATTGAGACCATTGGGGAAAACTACAGACTTGCAATTGTTAGTCAGCTGCTCTCAGTGTGTGGTGCGCATGCCACAGGTAGAGAAAAAGTGAGTTGCTTATCCCAGTGTCATTAGTTGAATTGGCTGTATGCCACTCAGTGAGAAGAGCTTTAAGTGACAAAATATATATTTACTTTTAAGGTGGCCACAAGTATCTGATTTCATTTATATTTCTAATTTCTCTAATCCCTCAAAGGAACTTTGAAATTTTGTCCCTATTATCTCAGTACTAAATGTCCCTGATGCCTTGTACTAAATCTAGGTGCCAAAAGAGATTAATCTGTTGGGCTTTAAAATGCTTGAAGATTAGGAGTATTTTAGACATAATCCCTAATAATAATCTATGATAAATGTATTCTACTTCAGATAAACCTCAACATCTACCAAAGAAACTTGTGTCTGCCTTACTTTAGATGTGTAGAATAACCTATTTCTCAAGAAAGTTATGTAATGAATAATTTTGTGTTAATAACAAGGAGTCTTGGTTTGTGTGCTTCCAGAAGGTTGTGAGAGAATAGTCTTAATACAGATTTGTTTTCTTATTTCTAATGAATTTTTGCAAAAAAAAAAAAAAAAAAAAGAAATTTTTTGGTTGGTTAGAGCTGACAGGCTTTAGTTATTTATCACTTTTAGTTGGTTTATTTTCATACTTTTTTTTTTTTCTGATGATTAAACCAAGACAGTGGAGGAAAGTTAAAGAATGTGGGAAAGGAACTAAATAAAGCCTGTCTCGGGCCTAACAGTGGCTGTGTTCTTCTACAGACGGACAAGGTTGGAAAGGCCTTCAAGTACTTGGAAGCCATCCTGTCCTTTATCGAGTGTGGGATTGCCATGGAGTCTGAGAGTCCGGCCTCCAAGTCCGCTTATTCAGTGTACTCAGAAACTGTAGATCTCATTAAGTAAGTGCCAAGTCACTTTGCTGTTTTCTCAAGTACTTCTCTTTCCTCACCTTTATTGCTTTAATCTTTCAACCTTAGCGTGAATACAGCTACAGTACAGGGGAGCCTTCAGGTCATGGGAGCTGGGGCTGCAGCTCAGTGTTAGAGCACTTGTTTGGCATGCGAGGCCCTGGGCTCCATCCCAGCACTGCCAAAAGGTAAAACAATAAGAAGGTATTGGTCCAAGAACTGAATTAAATTGTGTTCTAACTGAAGTGCTAGCACAGAATTACTGAATCTAGCCATATCACTTTGCCAAGTGCACTGAGAAATGCTACACTTTGCAGGGACGGGGTGGTTTTTCCAGTTTAGCTTTCTTATCAGATGCCCTCTGGGCTCAGGTGTGTATTTACCTGCATTTCAACAGGGGGCTCAGTGAGGGCACAACTGCACTTGGTTTCAGCCATAGGTCCTGGTTTTCTGAATGGCCTGCATTGTTGCTCACTGTTCCTGTGTGGCTGTCATGATTTCATATCTTCAGGAAAAGTCAATACAAAGAGCACTAAAATACAGTTCCAAGATGCATCTGTGCCTGGGATTTTCATACTGTCTTTGTTTAACCTAGTATATGGTTTTGTCTCCCTATAGATTCACAATGTCATTAAAATCATTCTCAGATGCCACAGCACCAACACAAGAGAAAATATTTGCTGTTTTATGGTGTGTATTTTTTTTCTTTGTTAAATAGCACTAAATGTGTTTTTGTTTCTTTTGATGTTAAAACGTTTTGAAATTTGATTCCTTAACCTAATGCTAGTGAGTACTTGGTTGGGGTTAATCCCACTGATGATTACTGGGAAATGGCACCTAATGCTGTTTTACTGAAGACTTGGTAAATGCTTTGGTCTTGTGGTTTAAGCTGTATCTTTGCACATCTATGTCTTTATGCCAATATTGACTTTTGGCAATAGTCTGAACAGTGTAGATTCTTGAGGTATACAGACAGGAGCATACCCAGTGTGCTCATGAGACTTGAAGGTACAACGGTTGTTTTTCTGTGGTAGAGCTAGTCCTGTCCACAAGGTGATGCACATGTCACTTTAACTTCTGTTCTTGTTCACAGCATGCGTTGCCAGTCCCTTTTGAACATGGCAATGTTTCGTTGTAAAAAAGACGTAGCAATAAAGTATTCCCGTACTCTTAATGAACACTTCAAGAGTTCTTCCAAAGTGGCCCAGGCCCCTTCTCCATGCATTGCAAGGTAATTATAAATCTAATTTCAATAATTTACAAAATTAAGTCATTCTTAATTTACCTCTTTTGCAATTGTTTCCCTCTCCCCCTCTTTGGCTTTTCAAAATTGAATGCTTCATCTCTGTGCTGATTTGCTCCTTAAAGGTAAATTATTAGCATATTTCTGCCGTTTGAGAATTATTTATAAATCAATATTGAGGCAGATTGGTTAACATAAAAGGTACAGTAGTTCCCTCTTGTCCATGGTTGATACATTTCAAGATCCCCAGTGGATGCATGAAACTGCAGATTAGTAACAAACACTCTATATATACTATGCTTTTTCTTATACATATCTATAAAAGTTTAATTTGTAAATCAGGCACAGTAAGAGATTAGCAGTAAGGTCTGGGAGTGTGGCTCAGTGGTAGAGCATTTGCCTAGTATGTGCTAGGCCCTGGGTTTGATCCCTAGCATGGCAACAACAAAGGATTAACAATATTAACTAATAATAGAACAATTATAACAATACATTGTAAATAGAAGCTATGTGAATGTGGTCTCTCATTGGAGTCTAAGCATGGTTGACTGCAGTTAACTTCTGTGGGAAGCAAAATGGTGGATAAGAGGGGGTTAGAATAATTGCAAAGAACATAGAGTCTAAATTTTAGAGCTTTGAGGATCTTAGATATGCCTAAGAACACAAAACCATGAGGGGCAGAACCAGAGCCAATGTGCTTTCTCCTTCTGTGATGTATCTTCTTGACATTTCAATAAACAAGAACTTTCCAGAACCATATACCTTCCACTGTCTTCAGGACCCACACCAGTAATACCAATGAAGCAATTATGTCTAGCAAAATTATTTCTCCCACTTTGTGAACTGCAATTGTTTATCTGCTGTAAAACATTGAAAAACAGAATCGTGTTCACTTGTGTTTATAAGATGAAGGTGGGTTGTTCTGTCCTGTAGTCCTTGTCTAGTATTTTCTTTTTTAAAAAAATTTGGCCATATTCCTTGGGAAGTTCCTAGTTCTGATAGGTTTTGTTATTTTAAGAGCATCACTTAGAAGACTGCCCGATTTCCAGAAATTCTAAAGAAGAGACTCCCATATGGCCTCTCTTAAAAAAGAGAAAGTCCTGGTTGAGAAGCAATTTCTTATTTATGAAAGCTTCACAACTCCCACTTTGAGATATTCTAAGCTAATAGGTTGTCAGTCACATTATTTTAGATAATTCCTGTGGCCATCTGCCCAGCCAGACCACCTAACCCCTATAGCTGCTGTCGAAACAGCAGTAAACAAAGCAGACAAGAGTTGCTGCCTCAGGAAGCTCTCTCTCCAGTCCTTGAAAGTATGTGTTCTGCCAGGCACGCTCAGGATCGTGCGGCCCACAGGGCAGATGTCACAGCGTGAAACTGCTGCTGCTGACCCCACCTTCCATCCTGTATCCATTTACTTTTTATGTCTGAGTGACTTCCCTGGTCTTTTCTCATTTGCTCCACGTTGAAGCACATGTTAACTGGCATGACCAGATATTTAGCCAAGGGCAGAAAAAACAGTAAGGTTCAGTTTCCCAGTGTGTGACACTCCCCGCCCATTTTCCTGCAGTCTACCCACAGCAGTTCATTTGTTGATTCTGTGGGATTCTACTCTTAGCACTTACTTGCCAGGCACTGGGGTGCATCCCAGCAACTTGGGAGGCTGAGGCAGGATCACAGGTTCAAAGCCAACCTAGTGAGACCTTGTCTCAAAAAGGGCTGGGGATGTGGCTCAGTGGTTAAGTGTCCCTGCGTTCAATCCCTAGTAACCAGCCTCCCTAATCCCTTACCCCTCCCCCCAAAAGCCATTTACTGCGTTAAGTGCTAGCTGTGGAAAGATTAATAAGACATGATCTCTGCCTCCATGGTGCTGTGACCCAAATGAATGCAAAACAAAAGATAAGTTCAAAGTTGTGTCAGGAAGGCGGCCTTGTTGTATCTACAGTGACTAAAAGAGTATCAGATACAGAGTAGGTGCTCAGTTTAGTGTTTCCTGAGGGGATGAAATGATGATGATGATGATGATGATGATGATGATGATGTGTGTGTGTGTGTATATGTATATATATATATGTGGGGTCTTCCTAGCATAAGTTGGAACTAGACATGGTAAGAAGAAGGGATTCCTCCGTGGAAGAGGAGGTAGACTGTTCAAGGGCATGGGAAAGCATATTTGAAATACAGTTAGTGTGCCTAGGTCTTCTTCAACTGTATAGGAGTCACTTTAGCTATAGTTATTTTTTTGGTGGATGCACACTGAAACTTGGTGATGTAGATTGCAGTCTTCGAGGTAGGAAACCTGCAATCTGGCAGGCTTTAACCATGTCTTTCTCTAACCTTCCAGAAGCACAGGCACACCATCCCCTCTGTCCCCAATGCCTTCTCCTGCCAGCTCTGCAGGGTCCCAGTCAAGTGCTGGCAGTATGGGGAGCAGTGGAATGACTGCCACAATCAGTACTCCAGTCACCATCCAGAACATGACCTCTTCCTATGTCACCATCACGTCCCACGTCCTTACCGCCTTTGATCTTTGGGAACAGGCTGAAGTCCTTGCAAGGAAGAATAAAGGTAAAGGTTTCTGGGGTGGTGATTAGTGGGGGCATGGAGGTCGGGAGGAAATGGTGTTGGTTTGTATTCTATGTTCGGTTTCTTAAAGGAAAGAAGGACACGTGTAGCTGTTTCCCTTTTCATTTTCTCCATTTTGCCTTGTTACCCACTTGTAATTCTCCCTGAAACTTTGTGGCTTAGAGCTGGATTTCTGTAGCTAGATTAGCAAAACCAAATTAGCAGTGGTTTTAGCACCTTGCCCCTTCACAAGCTCTGCTGTCATCATTTCAGTCTGAACCAAAATGCTAGCAAAAGGGCAAAGCAAATAAAGAAAGTCACGGCTGTTCCTAGCCTCAACCCATTTAAGACGGGAAGTAGCACAATCCCAGTGCTGAGTTTGTTTTCAGTAGACGTTAAGAAAAAAGGTCAGCTACAACAAGAGAAATATAGCATAGTAAACGGTCTTATGACTTGTTTGGGGAAGAAGGCCCTAGGAGTAATCCAGGGTTCAGGAGCAGTAGGACCTGTAGGTAGAGGAACTGGTTGGCATCAAGCCAGCTACCACTAAGTAAATGCATACAGCAGCGAGTGCCAGAACATGGCTGTGACTTCTATCTCCCCAGCTAGAGAGTAGAAGGCAGCCAGCTGGCTGTAATCTCTACTTTTCCCCACAGCCTCTTAGAGCTTTATCTGTCTTGGTAAAATAATGATACTTTTAAGGTGGTTGGGGTTGTTTTTGTTTTTGCATCCATGCATCCATTGATGAAATGTATAAAATGGCTATTTTAAAACTTCCAGTCACTACCCTAGGCAGGTGTTATGCATCCAACTCTAAAGCAAACCTGGTTCGTGGCCTTCTAGTCTAGAGGAGGGGTGTGGAGAGTTAGTAGGTGATTACAGATTATGATTCTTTTTTTTTTGAGATGAAATGCAGGGTATTGTAGGGACATAGCTTCTGAACCTTGACTTTTTGTATTTCTATTTTAATTTGTGTGTGCGCATGTGTATTTACTAGTTTGGGGCTTTTTGTTTTTCTTTTTCCAGAATTCTTTGCTCAACTCAGCACAAAAGTATGCACCTTGGCCCTCAACAGCAGTCTGGTGGACCTGGTGCACTATATAAGACAGGGTTTTCAGCGGCTCAAACAAGTAACCAAAACACCTTAATGGAAACCCAAGTTGACTCCATGCCTTGGGGACTTTTTTTTTTTTTTTTGCACATTGGAAGCGTAAAAAACAGTCTCGACATTTGTCTCATCAGGATATCAAACTCAAGAAGAGAAGCAGCATAAGATGGCCAGGAGGTTTGTCCACATAAACTCTCAAGAGTCGTGTTATCATTGGGTGGACACTGTGGTTACACAGAAGCAGAGATGGAGGTCAGCCCCAGAGATGATCTTGCCTTTCCTAACTACAGGATAAAAGTGCAATGTAGCCTAATGGGCATGTGAATGGTCTAGAAACATTTCTGTGGTCTTTTGTTTTTGTTTTTTAACCAGTAGGATGGATGTAAGCTGCAAGTGAAATGAGGAACAATGTCAATTCTGAAAGCAAATTCACATCATCTCAGTAGCCATACTAAGTCCATTCACAGAAGAAAATTTTTTTAAACATTGATTTTTGGTGAAGGGTTTTGTGGATGATTTGTTTTAAAAAAATTTAAGTTCTGAGGGAAACTTGTTTAACAGATTCTAATGGCCATCTGTAAAATGTAAGTTGTGAAGGACTCCACTGTACCCCACATTCTGCCAGTGAACAGTGACTTTGATAATACCAAGTATTGTCATAGTGTATGAAACTGAAGGCAACCCCCTCCCATTGCCCTGTGTACTGCGCGTTCACCCCAGCTCGGATTCCTGACTGCTGAAATGTAACCCACGATCCACGTCACGCAACGGAGGAAGAACAAGTGCGCATGGGAGCCACCTCGAGAGTCACTTGAGGCCGACTCCTGGAGGACTTGGCGCTGCCATCCCCACTCTTGTTTCCTTGAAGGGTTCTAGCTAACAAGGTGGTCTCCATTGATCGAATTCTGTATTTCCTAACTTGGGGAAGAAGGGAACAACATTTATACCTGACCAGATGGCTAACGTGCTTTTTGATTCTTGTTTTAAGTAGAGATGGAATTTGAGGTGCTGATCGGTGGTCTACAGCTATGTGGTAACTCATGTCTAATCAGTTTTTTCAGTGAAGAAAAATGATATCTACTTCGTAGAGAGGCTATATTTTTCTGCTACAAATTATTTTATATTTATAGCAAAACTAAACTTTGTGAGCCCTTGATTGCCTAGGGGAAATTGACTCCCTGAGAGAATGTGGAGATGTGGGGATTAAGTAGATTTCTAAAAAAATTGTCACCACATGCCTTCACTCCAGAGTGTTCTCAGACAACTAGATTTGAATAGGTTGAAGAGGGAACTGTGGCCTTCCTCTAAGTTAATGTCATACTGTCTGCATTAAACCAGGTTCGTTTTGAATGGCCTAAAATGAAAGAACACAATCAGAATTCCCACATGCCCACAAGCACAGATTGCTTTTTGAAATTTTGAAGGTTGTTATTGGAAATACTCTTTTGAGTGCAGTGTTTTTAAAAACCAGTTCTTTTTATCCCATTTAGAAAGTAGAATTTGCTCATGTGTTAAAATTGAGGAGTGAGCTTCATCTGTGCAACTAATTGGTTTCCTTTTCTCCCGTTACCCTGTTCTGCACCTCTACACATTGTTCCCTACCAAGCACGTTTCATGTTTTTTGTATTTATTAGTGAAGGCAGAACCATTTTTATTTATAGTGAAGACGCCCAAGGTCTCTCTGATGAATACTAGGACTTTCTGGTTTCATAAACATGTAAAGGGATGTGTAGATGCTGGAGCCATGCTGACTTTTCAGTTTAAAATTGTGTGAAGCTGCCCCCTGGTCTCTCCTCCAGCCTGTTCTTTGATTGCTAACTAGGTTAAAGCCAGAGAATGACAGTGGAGTTAATATCTGAGCGTTAAACCTTGATGTGTGATGTGTGATCCTGACGAAGCAGTTTCCTTTACTGATGTTCTGAAGCAAAGCTATTGTTTTTTTAAACTACTAGAGAGCCTGTTGTTAAATGGACAATAATTGCCTGGTAGGTTGTAAGGCCTGGCATTGTGTTTGCTCCTTGTATGGAGGGGACAAGGCACTAGAATCAGCAAGATCACTTAAAATCCTTCTGTCTTAATTCCCCTTCCCCGTCTGCTATGTCAAGCCACCTGTCAATGGTGAAGGGTTCTGTTCTTTATGACAGGTTCTGATCTATGCGGGTTGTACCAGAGCATGTGTGAGTCTGTGGGCAAGCCACCATGCTCCCTTGACTGAAAACATTCCCAAGTGGATTTCTCAGCCAAGTGTAACAGATTGCTTTTTCAGTGGCCTTATTCTTTGTGGGTTTTTTTCCTCCCTGAAATCTATATTAAAATTTTATTTGTCCCTTGAAAAAAAATAATGAATCTGGATAGATCAATTTGTACTACTTTGATCATTGGATATTTCTGATTCTTACTGCAACAGTCCTTGTACCTAACAGAGAATTCCTGATGACTACCTTTTTAATAGAGTAAGTAAAAGGTAGTGTCTGATGAGTCCTTAATGTTCATAAGCCCTTTTTGCTGTTACAGTTGTATATAGAAATCTGAAGGATTTTTAAACCATTTGCACTTTTTCACTGCATGCTTATAATTCCCAAAGGCAAAAATTTGTACTGAGGTAGATCTTTCAAGAGGATTAGATTATAAAATTAAGCCTTTGTATATGTGAAGTTCTCATGGCAACAGTGATAGTGCACACTTCACAGTGAGAAAAATAGAAAAAATTAATCTTAATGAAAACAGAGTAAATCTTGCCTTTGCCACTACAGGGGTGGGTGTGTGTGTGTGTGTGTGTGTGTGTGTGTGAGAGAGAGAGAGAGAGAGAGAGAGAGAGAGAGAGAGAGAATGAATAAGAATGTGGGAGAATACTGTTTTATTTTAAACGAATTGTTGAATGTTTCTACCCTTCTGAAGATAGTGAAAATGTGAATCATCGAACCTTGGAGCCCTATTAAATAATGAAAAAGACTTTTCCAAAATCTACCAGATTATACTTGGGGTTAAGATTATGAATATACAGATGACATGGTAGCAGTGGTACAGTATGAGAGGGTTCAGCATGCAGTAATCAGGAATAAACTACAATAGGATAATTTGTTTGATATCATGATTTGATCACAATATTAAATGAGAAAAGCAACTGATTTTTTAAACAAAAAGATCTTTTTTTAAAGATTGTTTTAGCCAAAATGTATAGTTACTTCCTTTAGACAAATTGGACATTTACCTCCTTTATTCTTTACTCTTTAGTTCTAGATCTTGGGATGTTTAGAAGCTAATCTACTCTCCCTTTCTAGCTGAAAATTTGCCTTACCTGGTACCTTACATATTAATGTTAGTAGGAGCAGGAGGTTAGTCTTGATCCACTTTTTAAAGCAAAAAGAAAACCACTGTGTTCTCTACAACTGCTATCTCTGATGTGCAAAAGAATATGTAATCTGTACACAAATAGAGAACAAGAGCTGATTCAGTTGTATATATTTGTTGTGCCCTTGTTGACCAAACCTAATTTTGAAATAATGTTTTGCCACAGCTTTAAGGTATGTTACATGGGTCGTCTTATATCTATCTTCTGCTTTATGAAGTTTGAAGTTTATTTGTGCATATTAAGATAAATGAGTTGGTTTGATTTAGCATACTTTTAAATTCTTCCATGCCTTCTACCAAATTCTTTTTTTTTTTTCATAATGATTTATTTTCCCTGACACTACAAAATACCTTTGAAAATTTTTTATCGTTTCTTCTGAGACACTCTTTCCCACTGAGTAGCAGGATTTAAATTTTCCAAGACTATTTTGGGCTTCTGGTAGAAACACAGAAGTGTAGATTTTATTACTGAAAAGTGAGTACACATTGCAGCTGTGAAGAGATGGCCAGGATTGATTATGGTGGTGCTTGCCCCCACCCCTTCTCTTGTGGATTGCCTCTTCTGGTTTTTTCCCACTGGGAAATAATGGGTGTAAGGTATTTTTTTTTTCTGTGCCTTTATTATTTGTTTTCATGGGGAGAAGTATAGTAGCAGAATAGCATGGTGCTGAGGGTCTTCCTTCACACATTACAAGTGGTATTTCTGCCATGTAGTCAGTCCTCCAGTCCACAACCCAGTTATGTTGGTTTCTTGGTGGCTGAGGATGCACATCTCTTTGTGAATTGTGAGCACTAGTCATGTTCTTTAGTTCTTATTTATGATGCGTTGATCAGCACCATCTACTACTTTTCTTGAGATGACTGTATGTTTCTTATTGTTTTGAGGGAAATCACACTTTATCCTGTCACTGTGAGTCAGACATCATTAGGTACCATGCTGAGTAGATGTGCCCTTACTTCTACCTAAGAGGATGTCTCAGAGGGCAGGAAGGAAACCCTGCAGCTCCTCATAAGCCTATATGGAAATATATAGGCCCGGGAGGACAAGGGAATAAGACCACTGACATCAAGGCTGGCCAAGCTGCACTGTCCAACCAGGTAGTGGCCAACCTAAAGGAGATGACTTGCTTTGCTTAAAAGTAGGTATTTAAGCAATACTCCTCACAGGCAGTATTAAGTTTGCCTTCTGTTCAGGCCATGACATGTATTGTTAAGCTCACTGCACATCCTCCTTTCAGACATCAAGTATACACTGTTCATGTTGGGGTGTGTGTATGTGTGTGTGTGTGTGTCCCAAATCTTGTTTAAAAAAAAAAATTTTTTTTTCCTGAATGTGATCATGTTTGCATGTTATCTGAGCAGGGTTGCTTTTTTTTATTTATTACCATTATATATTATATTATATATTTTTGCTTTCTTATAACTTTAGAAAAGTCGAATCTTGGTGTTAAATTGTTTAAATGAATAATTTTTCCAGTTGATAAATGAAAATCACTGGGCTATCTTTAAAGTAATAAGTTTTTCTTTAATTTCTGTGGAATAATGTGCCAGCTCTTGTCAACACAATGACTTTGTATGTAGGATAGAAAAGCAGCGATGCTCTCAATGGGAAGATGTGCAACACAAATAAGGGGAACTCCACATATTTTATCTACTTCAGCAATGGAACTGCAACTTGGGGCTTTTGTGAATAAAAGTTAGATGCCTTGTATAGTCCTTTGAAAGAGACATATGTGATCTCTGAGAGAATTATAGGTTTTTTTTAGAAGAAAAATTTGCAAAAGATCTTTCCAAAGATAATGTGCCACAGATCTTTTGTTTGCTGTTCTCTGTAATGAGGATTAAGTGCTGTTTTAAAAAAAAATGTAATTGATCTGTTCTTTAAATTCTTTCATTTTCACAAGAGGATCGAGCTGTTGAAAAAATTAATAAAAATTTAGAGAAATCATTGGAGTTGAATCCTTGCTTTTACTACTTTGCCTGAATAAGGTAATTCTTAAAATTGCTATATGATATTGCATCTGTGGCCAGAGTGTTTCACAGGGAATAGTGTGCTCTCTCCTTCACAGTACTTATTGCTTTTTGGGAGGATGTATATGTGGTCAGAAGGTAGCTTAATCTTTTGTTGAGTTTATTCTCAAAAGCATAAGCACATACAAATTAACCCACTGGGGCTTATCCTGACATCAGGGGCCAGGTACATCAGTAACCAAGTTTGCCTCTTTTCAAATTGTTGGGTAAACAGGTTTGTAGAATGTTGGTATTGAATCTAAAGTCTGTCTGTTTTTTTCCCTCCCTTTACCCACCCTAAAGAAATCGTACTTCAGTATGGGCCATTAATCTCTGCTAGATGACACTTTTCACAAAAACTTTCCATGTAATGTCTTAGGGAACTGTAAATGTGAATAAAAGTTGTCTGGGTATGGTCATACCAATTTATTTAACCAGCCACATGGTTAGGACTGAGATTATTTCTATTCTAAGGCTATTATAAAGAATGTTCCCTGGCCCTCAAATTTGGTCAAATTTCAAACTATTTCCTTGGAATAAACTCCTAGAAGTGGGTTGTGGGGTGAAAAGATATATTTTCTCCACACTTTATTTTGAAAAATTTCCAGCATATACAGAAAAGCAGAATAAGTAATAATATAATGTTTACATCTATACCGCCACCTAGATTTAACAATATTTTACCTTGATTTTTAATGTAACTATGTATATTGGTGCTGAATAAGCTGAAGACATTATTTCTCCCCTTAAAAAATTCAACATATATTTGTTTGAACACTTTCCAGTGTAACCACTGTGTCATTACAGCATAAGAAAAACTTTTCAATCTCTTATAGATTCATATTCAAATTTCTCCAGTTGCCCTCAAAGTGACTTGTAGCTTAATTTTTGAACATGGATCCAGCCATGTTTTGTGTATTACATTTGGTTATCATGTCTCTTTAGTCTGAAAACAGTCCTTGCCTCTCCCTTTTTAGTGTGATGTCCCACTTCCTGGATTTGTTTCCCCAAAGCATCCCCTTAATTCATTCCTTTATCTCCTATAGACTAGTTAGGTCTAGAAGCTTGATTATATTTCACAAGAATCCTTCACAGGAGATGCTGTGCTTTATGCTGGGTGGAATCCAGAGTTACCAAACAAGGTTTTTCTAGTAGTGATGCTGTGCCTTGCTGATCCTGAGTCACTGGAAGCTGAGAAATGTGTTTCACAGGCTTTTATTGTCAAGTTGCTAGAGAAAATTAGAAAGTTTTCAGAGTATGTTTCCTTCATTCCTGGGTATTGTTTGGAAAATGGAAAAGGAAAACACTGAATTTGATAGGTGGAAAACGATGTTCCTGGTGTTTATTTTTAGTGCATGGGTTATTTTACCATTATTCTAGATGCAGTTTGAAGAAGCCCATCTTGGCAGATACGGAGAAAGTTGTTTTTACCTAAATCATAGAGAATGAGTTATATATACTACAAGGAAGCATTAATGGAGGAGGAAGGTGATGCTGAGCAGTAAACATACAGATGATTCATGCAAGCTAAAGGGAGATAATTTTTAATTTACATATTCAGGATATTGATTTTAATTAGATTATGTATTTCTCTCCAGATATTTTCAGCTTTTATTGCTTTTGACAGTTTTTGAATTTTTAGGTAGGCAGACTTCTACCAGTGTCTGTGGTTTCTGCTGTTGGTGTTTCAATGAGGTAAGTGAAGGATCTTGGTCACTTGTGTAAGAGTTTTACTGCCGTGAATACTGTGAGGTAAGTAGTACTCTCCCTTTGTGTCTTTCTCAGCCTTTTTATTGGAAGAGTTTAGGCATTCTTTGTGCCTGCATTTGCCTAATACTTGCCAGGGTTGTTGGAAATTTAAATTGTCCCAATCCAGGATACTTGAACAGTCATCTCCTGGGTATTTAGAATCCTCAATTCTACTACTCCAAACAACTTTGAAGCCCAATGGATCTTTACCAGAATATAATCGGGGGTTTATACACTGTTACTTTGGTTGTGATTAGGTAACTGTACCGTCTGGCCTGTCTAAGGAACAGGACTCTCCAGCATTTGTGGTTTTCCGGTAGACCGCACTCAGCTGAAAGTAAGACTTCAGCTAGACACTAAGGCTCTGATAATAGAGGCCTTTGCCCTTCTAACAGACTAGAGGGCAAACCTTGAAATACTTTCCAAACAGACAATTCTATTTTAACTTTAAAAGACCACATACCTACTCTGGGTAAGTGCTTTGAGTCACCCCTCTATATTACTGAGCCCAATCCTAACATCTCTTTTACCTTATTTCATGTGTAGGAAGAAGAAACAATTATGGATTTATATATCTCCACTGCTAAGTATTTCTGTAAATTATAAGCAACAACATACACCAAAAACAAAACAAAAAAAAAAAAAAACAGGTGCACATGCACATCTGTTTCTACATGTACTCAAACTAATGGACATGGAAAACTGACTAAAGAAAAATGCCTGTAATTGACTTTAGTTGCAAGTGAGGAGTCTTGAGAGGTGTGGCCTGATGGAGTGGGTTTGCAGTGGCTCCACAGACACAGCACTGAAGGAATCTGATGCACACACCTTTTGGTATTTTTATTTTCTTCTTGGTACTGGGGATTGAGCCCAGGGATGCTTTACCACTGAACTATATCTTCAGCTCCCCCTTTTGGAGACATGGTCTTGCTGAGTTGCTGATGCTAGTCTCAAACTCTGAAATCTTCTTGCCTCAGCCACTCAAGTTACTGGGATTACAGGCATGGCTGTAGAGTCTTGAAAACAGGATAAATTCCTGTAGGATAGATTCCTGAAAGGGCAATTTCTGAGTCAAAGCACAAACCAAATTTTAAAAACTTAATGTTACCAAACTACCTTCCTCACCATGGATGAATTTAACATTATTTGCATCCCTTTGATGACAAATGAAGTTGACTGTTTTGTCATAAATTTATAGCCCCCTCCCCAATGGAGCTGGGAATCAAATCCAGGCCTAATGCATGCTAGGCAAGCACTCTTTCACGGAGCTATAGCCCCAGCCTCTGGCCATTTATTTTCTGATCCTATGGAATGCCTGTGTACTTAGCTCCTTTTTTATGAGATTTCCACCAAATTTCAACCAATTATTAGATTAAGAACGTTACACCAGCTTGACTGCCTACCACCCACTGCAGACTTCCACCTAAGATGCATACAACAGTTCCATATTTTCCCCAAATCCTATAGGTGGTAATAAGCAATCCCCAAGTTAAAACTTTCATGCATGTCACTGCTTTAGGGTCTTCACTTAAATCGTACTACATTTCCAAGGAAATGACATTCATTCTGGATAAGATGGATGCAGATTAAACTAGCAATTTTGGTAAGTTTGGGGTATGTGTGTATTGCTGGATTTTGAACTCAGGACTTCACACATGCTAGGCAAATGGTCTACCCCTGAGTTTTATCTCTAGCCCGAAACTGACTATTGTGAAACCCCACTGGATGTAAATTAATTTCAGCATAGTTATCTGTCTCAGAGATAGAAAATCCCATTATTAGATGTCAATCCTGAGCTTTACTTGGATGTTTATACATTTGTTTATTTTGAATGAAGTTTAAAAAGTAAGGGAAGACTGGTTAGTTGTCCTCGAATGGACTTACATCTATTCAATCATCTGACTGATTCCTTTATATGAAGTGACATGCTTCAGGCTGTATGTGGACATAAAGCATTGCTCAGGATACCCAGCTTCTGGATGGCATGTCATCCAGCTTCAGATCAGGTGTTTTGCCATTCAAAGAGCCATTTTCTCTGCTTGACACCCTTCATCTATTTACACAGATGTCACTATTCCAAAGCTACCACCTTGTGTATTGAGTTATTTCAAACCTGACAGCATGGCCTAAGCCAGTTTTTCTGCTAGGAAGAGGACAGTACCCCTTCTGTGCCTCTGTATTTGTCCTGAATTCCCTATGGCACAAACCTAATCAAAAAAGTAAAAATATGGAAAAGAGGGAAGGAGTGTATGGTACTCTCCATAGTTTATATTTGAGTCATTTTCATGCTTTATGATGAAATTTGAGCCCAAAGTAAGTTATTTTTTTCCCTGGTTAAGCAGCTAACAAAAAGGTGATGCTGATTATGATACATAATAGTTCATCAACTAAAAAAAAAAATAAGAGATAATTCTGCCCAAAACAACTCATCAGATTTGGATCTAAATTTTCCAAAAGTACTTTTTAAGCTGGGGCATAAGCCTGTAGCCCTGACTACTTGGGAGGCAGGCAGACCACTTGAGCCTAGGATTTCAGGCCAGAATGGGCAACATAGAGAGATAAACTCCTTTTTATTTTTTGAAGTCCCTATTAAATCATTTAAATATTGACTTCAGTTAAATTTGTCTCATTGTAGTAACATCTTAAAAGTTTAAATCTTAGTCATTTTAATCCCAGAACATTTTATTTTTCCCTCCTTGTATCCAATGCTTATAGTGGAGGTGGACAAACTTAGTTTTACCCTAATCTTTATACCCCTTTATCCACTCCAATTGATAAAAAGTAGATTGGACAATATTTCCATGGAGTAGAATCACTAACAAAAATTGTCGCACCATTTGGATGATTAGCCTCTCCTCCTTGCTTCCGTTTGCCTAAATCATAAATCAAACATGGGTAGACCCATCATCAGGAGCTATTTTGTGTTCATGCATTTGTATGTGCATATGTGTATACATTGTGATACACATATATTTCTGTAGATGATTCAGACGTGTGAGGACACTGAAATGCCTTTTTGTCTGGAGATCTATGCATAAAAGCTTAGAGAAATTTCATGTATATACATTCTTTCCACTTCCTAAAAAATAAGTGAAATCACTTGTGTGATATCCTGGAAAGCAAAAACTTGTGAGGTCTTACATTAAGTCATTACATGTTTGGTTCTACTGCCCTAATTTCCCGAAGCCA